ATGGTTCCAGTCAATCTTTTATAAACCCAAAGCCACTCCCCTTTCCCACAGATTTCCTAGACCAGGAAACAAGCATCAGCTTCCGAGAGGTTACTGCAGGCAGGTGGAGGCTGGCTGTCCCGCTAATTAAGGATTTTATGGATCAAGATGGGAAATGCATGACGGTGCACCCCAGCCATCCTGGAAGACCCTCGCTGGGAACAACTTGTCTGCTGAGCCCAAGGACCCGAACTTCAGACTGGATGCTCAGCCTGTCTTCAGCAGCCTCCACCCTTGCCTTCTTGACCCCATTCCTTTCACTGTCCATGTTGATTACTGCAGTGTCTATAAAGTGACATTAAAAAGCCCAGAGATTATCTTCCCACAGGTGCCCTGGGAGTCTCCTCTGAAAATTGCTGTGCATCAGAAAGAATTTTGATGGAAAATGAAGACTTTGTGAAAAAGTGGTTAATGGCAAAATTTTCATTTTGAGAAGTCTGGTATCTTGGGGACTGAAATAACCAAGCTGTTGGCTCCCGATGGAACTTTACTCAGTTAGGCAGCAGGAGAAACCTGGTCTAAGGCTGTCACAAGAAATGTGAACGTTGCCGTTGTGCCTCAGCCTGCAGGGACTGTTCCGAGTGCTGCGGGGAGTGACGTGCACGGAAACTCTAGCCCTGTAATGAAAACGGAGCGGTGTCTGCACAGAACCTACACAGCCCTCCCGAGTACTGCATCATCTGCAAATGACTTCTCATATCTTGCGTATGTAAATGCCGTGTAAATAGTCATTTAGTGGATAATGGCAAGGGAAATGGTCTGCACATGTTCAGTGCAGGAGCATTTTAAAGAAAAAAGTTTCTTCCCATTCTTTGTTGGTTCAAATCATAGATTCAGAACCTATAGACATACAGGGTAGACTGATTTTTTTTTGGTAGGAAAAAAAAACCCGAAGAAGACATCCTGAATATTCTGAAAAGAGCAAAATACAGCATCACAGGACAGACAGTTTTTTCTTCCTAGAACAGAAATCAATTTTCATAATAAAAGCTAAAATTAATAATAGATCAGAGATGCAGCTTGTCATTTATCCCAAGCCGTTTGTTATTTTTACTTCTTTGGATGTTATCATATGCAGAACACAAATGTGGCGGTCCTGCTAACCTAGTTAAGCCTGAGTCTTTGACAGGCCAAAGTGAGAAAAGCGAATACATACAGATGACACACTTCCTCAATCTGAAGTGCGCTTAGCAAAAAATTGTGAACTGGACATTTACTATGTATTCCTAGTCTGTCTCTTTCCCCTTATCTCCTGACACCTTTCTGAATATTTTTTTAAAGGGATGGTGTTCTAAAGCCCAGGTGGACAGTTTACCAGTATAATGGAGTTCAGCATTTCAAAGTCTATTTATTTACATAGGTTTTGTTTATCTCTAGTGATTCACCATTTGTAACTAGAAATTCAAGGTACCATCTTATGACGTATACAGTAACTTTCAGACCAAGCACTCAAAACAGTTGTCAGACCAGAGTGAATGCAAAGTGCTCAGTACCTCATAAGCTCTGAACTACCTTGCAGAACTGTAAGCAGAAAGGCTAGAGACCAATTGTAATTCTTCAAGTCTTTAAGGAAATCACGTTTTCAGTTTGGCCGCTGAGATAAACATAACCAAGAAAGAGAGGTTTTATTTGTCTTGTGTTCTAGCCCTTTGAAAAAAGGTGGCATCACTTCCCGGTTGTGGGAAGCACTAGTTAATGCAAAATGGGGTTACCTGTTCCCCTCATGACATTTTGCAAAGCTGCAAGACATCATGTCTAAAGCCTTCCTTACACTGCAGCGAACTATAGCCAGGAGAATTACTCAGCAGGAAGATTCTGTGTGGACACTCACATCCCCATCACAAAGCCCGGGTGGCTGACCTTCAGCTTGGCCCCAATTCCCCACACATATCATGAAAATGCTTTGTTACTGAGGACAAGCGTTCCTTTAATCAAAAAAATCCACAAAAATTCTGTACTTAACTGATTTGATGTAAACTTAAGGATAATACCACTTATCATAAAAAGAAATGAAATCCTGTCTTTTATGTATGCCTAAAAGGAAAACCGGCATGAAATAACTGATTGTAGGAAATGGAAAATCTTACAAGATGCATATTATCTGAGGCATATTTTGGGTATATTATCTGAGCTTTTTTTAAGGCATATTTTGAGTATATCAGGGGCAGTACTGGCTGGGTTAAGAGCAAATGATAGTAACATTGTCCTTTTTCAGCATCTGGGCAGTCTTTGTTCTGGTTGGTGGAACTGAAACTTTCTAGGCTCTAAGGAGCCTAGAATTTTCCTCAGTTCCATTCATGTGTCAAACGCCTTCTTAGTTTTTCTTTTCCCCCCTGCCCCAGGATGCAGTTAGGGAGATAGTCACAGTTTTAAGAATGATCCACAGTGTTAAAAAATTTGGCATCTTTATCACAACATGGAGCCATCGTCTCCCTGACTTCGAGTATTTCTGGAAGTGAGGGACACAGTAGCACCTTTGAATGCAGATCCCTCCGACGTTTTCCACCCCAGGTATCCCCCAATTCTATGTGCAAAGCAAGCTGGGCGAAGCTGCGTGGAAAAGTCTTGGGCCTGCGTGCCCACACATGTCCCCCACGATCAAGCGCCCTGGCAGGGAGTGCCGTCAGTGAGAGGGGATGCATCTCCCTCACGCTTTGTCCCATCCATCCACCTTCTTCCCCCAGAAAGTAAACATGAACATGCTTTCAAAGCCCCTGAGCAAGATATGTGTGTCTCTCCTGTACTGTGGATGGAACAAATTCATCTCAGGAGTTGAGACTGATGCAGAGGACATCAATTATGCAGAAAAGCAGGCATTGGCATGCTCTTGGGGGCGTTCTGGTTCTTTTTAGTTAGACTCTGTGGTGAGAGATTGCTAAATAGGCAGGAGTCTATTTTATTCTCTATTGAGTGAACAACTCATGCTTTTCGAGATAAAGGCTTTTTTCCTTCATGGAACACACACCATGAACAAATGTTTTCACCGGGAGGATGGCTGAGGTCAGGACGAAGGAGGCAGGGTATAGAAAACAGGGGCTCTTGGTATCTCTCGCTATACATCCTTTCCTAAGGCTGCAGGAGAATTGTTAATGACATCTGAATTCTGAGAGGTTCTGAAAGAAGAGGCATCTGTAGGATTGTTTTTAAGGTAACATCAACTAAATCTGTGCTATTGCTGCTTTTATTTTCTTCTCAAGAAGAATTTTACTACAAGATTTTTTTCCTAGAACTTTAAAAATGTATCAGGTTAAAATTCTCATAAATTATAAATTATAAAGGTACCATGCTGGACACTGTGTCCATGCCACCCGCTGTCTATGCATGATACACTGCATGGTGCGGCAAGCGCTCCTTCGGGTGGTGCCTCCAGGAAAGGTTGGCCACAGGCAGGCGGGGTCCCTGACGCTTGAGGGACAGACTTGGATGCCAGATGTGAAATTCTCCAGTAGAGGAGACATTTCACTTAAGCCATTATTTTCAACCTATTTCTCCAGAAGTATTATTTTATTTTTTAAATTGAATTTGCTAAGTATATCCAACTGGGACAAACAGACCTGTTTAATTTCAGGTTTCCTGTTCTCTCCCATTCTCATGCCCTTCTCTGGGCATGAGAAACCTCCAATAAAGTTTCAAATCAGGGCTTTTCCATACTTTCTCTGCAGAATGTTTTGCTTATTTTAGTAATGTTAGTATGTACAATAGATCACTGTAAACAAATGGTTTTCAATATAATCAATTCAGATTTCTGTGTGAGAAAACTGAGAAGCAAACAGATGCTGATACTAAACGTTTACAAATGCCAAAGCACTAGTAACTAACTGGCCTGACTTTTCCCCCTTACTGCTGAGTAGAAGCTTCAAAAATTCATATGAAGGACATATTCTCCTCCAGTGATAACAAAGAACTAATATCATGAAGTGAATTGGATTTGTATTATAAAAATATTAAAATATACTGATTGGGAAATTTTCTTTGGGATTTTGCTAGTACAAAATGATTTCTGCTCGTCAAAATGTGTAACTGGTGATAGCCATTACCCATTGTCCGCATCCAAAATTGGTTTAACTTGAAAATTAATATTTACTAAGAAAAATGTGAAATTCTACCTGCATTTCTTCCATACTCTGGAATATGATTTCTCAAAGCAAGGGCTTGTGCATGCTGTATCTCTCTTTTCCAGATAAAATTAATTACTGAACCATAGTAACATAAGCTAGACACATACTTTGGAGTTGAGCTTTGGTCTAGTAAAACGTAACTCTTAGGAGGAAATGTCGAATTAAAGTCGAACTAATCCAGGAACCCATCATTCAAATACTGTTGAGTCTGAGTAGTTTAGAATAAAGTAATCACCTCCTAATGCTCATGGATAGTCAACATCTTTGATTTCAGAAACATTAGAATTTTTTTCTCCAATGGAAACTTGCAGACACATGCACACTCTTCCCAGACCGAGGGTGAGGTTGGTGGGTGAAAGAAGGCTGGCTCACACTGGTGCCAGAGCAAAAGAGGCTGCAGAGTGAGGACATGGGGGCCAAGACTCACTGCGGGCTGCGCCTGAACTCAGCCCTGTGCACGGGGCTGAGGCCAGTGCGTTTCTGCCAGGAGTGGCCCACACAGGTGGGTGCTGATGCCAAGGGCTGTGAAGGAGAGATACATAAGGGGCAGGGCCCCAAGACAGCTGCTAAGATATTTGCTTGCCTGTTTTATAGATTTCTTCACAAGGGTAATTGGCAGCTGCTTCCAATACCAAAATCCATTCTAATACTGATAAACATCACCAAGCTACAGATTCAATAGGATTAGCAAGACTACCACTTTAAAGTTCCATTAATACGTGTATGTGTGTGTGTGTGTGTGTGTGTGTGTGTGTGTGCGTGTAACATATATTAGGAATATTTTCCAGATACAGCCTGTGCTGCTGAATGGTAATTTATAACTGAAGATAAACCAAGCAGTGCTGTTTTGAGACTCCGATTTTGATCACTACTGGTCTTGGGGATGACAGAGGGTGAAGAATGTGAACCGGATGCCCTTCACTCATCAGTAAGGGCAGCACTTAGAGATACAAGTATCCAACCCAGTAGACCAAGTTGAAGAGCAGAAACGACGTGGGAAAGAAGACCCGGGAGTACGAGTCCAGCTCTGAGATGTCTATGTGAATCCGCCCTTTTCTCCAAGATCCTGATTTACATTCTTCATAGCAGCAGAAGAAGCTCTGACAGTCTTTGCCATCCAGACACTCATAGACACAGGTATCTTCAAACTCCTGCCAGTACACGGAATTGTTTAAAGAGATCATTGCAGGTGGTGGCGGCCTCATATCAAGGAGAGAATAGTTCTGCAGGCAACAAGAACAGCAAAAAATCATCAGGAAATGCACCCAAAACAGCCCAAGATACATGTATTTCATCTGCTGTGGCGGAAGGGGATGCACAGAGATGTCCATCCCACACTTCTCCAGGGCAGGTCAGACTCCTTCCATGTGGGCAACTTCAGTGCAAGGAACACTGGGCTGCGATCCCAAAACTCGTACTTCCCAGATTGCATGAGTGAAAGAAGCTGGGCATATTTTCAAATATGTGTGAGCTACTCAGATCTCTACTCTGCCTACTTTTCTATTGGTTTGTAACGGGTATGTACATGTCATATATTTATTCTTAAATATGAAGCAGTGAATATATTAAATTGTGGAAGAACATGGCATTTTTTATTTAATATACAGTAAAAATGTAGTGTGTGGGAATGATGAGGGAACGCTCTGTTTCACGCAGTTCAGGTAAAAAGACAGCTCGCCGTGTGGGGCAGCTGAACAGAGCTTTTCACCTCAGAAAGGCAACATCTGACGTGTGTGATTGGAATGCTCACTTTCTGGTCTCCCAAACTGTCTTCCTGACATGGAGAAACTAGTGTGTAGCATGCAAAAGCCTGTTTGCTTATCTGCTTTAGTTGCACTTGTGTTGACTGAACTGGGGCAGGGGGACCCACACAAATCTGGAATCCAGCATCCGAGGAGAGGTGGACATAGATGCCCACTTCAGGGATGACCGATGGGGTTGCTCCTTTGCCCTGGTGGCACAGTGCTGGGAAAGAGGCCACTCAGAACTGTCAGGAAGCCTCTTGAGAATCTCCTTCTGCTTTGCCCAAAACTACTATTACGGGGGAATGGGAACATGCTTGCTTTGCCTTCATTTTTTGGATGGTAATTTGACTATGTTTGTGACTACATGGAGTTGTAAATCAGGGCCGGGAGGCAGAAATGTCCAGCACCCAAGGTCACTGCTCTTAGCCCTATGGTGCAGTCTTGTATCAGGGAAAAACATGTGGCTCTTGACCTAAAGCCAGGTGCTGTGGACCAGGGGTGCTCTCCCTGGGCCCTGTCTCCACCTCATAAGTGTGGCCACCCACCCTGCGACAGGAGGGCTGTCACACGTGCTATCTCCTTCCCTCCACGAATCCTGAGAATGAGCAGAAGTGGAAGTCCTGTGGTCCCTTCCCCTCTAAGAAGAATGAGGCTCCTCTGCGTTAATGATTCTCAAAAACAAGTGGAAGGGAAGTCACCAGGAGGGGCTGCTGAAACAGGGGTGATCCCTGCTCCACACCAATGCATTTGAGGAATCGTACATTATTTTAAAAAGCACCCACTAGAAAAACTGCTTTTATTAGGTAACAGCTGCATTGAAAAGTTTTCCTTCATACGTGCACTCGCATCTCAGCCAGATGTTCATCCATCCCTGTCTTCAATCCTGGGAGCGGGACAGTCCCTGCTATGTGGCAGGAACTGTGGGACTGGACAGCCACGATGAGGCCGGCAGCACAGCAGAAAATGGTGACGCAGACCGAGCCTGAGAGGGCCCTGCAGCGTGGAGACAGATCTCTAAAGATCCAACAGATGACTTCAGGAGGCTGCAGGCAAAGCAACCGCGAAGGTTCTGGGGGCAAGAGAAGGCTCTTTCACTTCTTCACCTAGGGAACTAAAAGCCCAGGGCCACTGGGACACAAGAGAAAATAGCATATTCAAGAGAGTTCTGTGTTTAAGAGCTAGTGGCTTGAAATGAAATGAATTCCACTTTACGGGATTGAAATAAAAGTTAGGATAGGAACTTAAATAGCTCTACAGCTGTACTTTAGGCTGTTTTTTTTTTTTTTTTATAGGAATCTCTGCCGTTTTCATTAATATTTCAAAGTAAGTGCAAGGTAGAGATCTTAGCGAATGCTTTCCCCAAATCATCTTTGGTCAAGTTGGGTCCCTGCTGCCTTCTCCCTCAGCAGCGCGTATAACCATGCTGCACAGCCTCTCTCGAGCACTGTGCTCCCTGGGCCTGTGCAGGTCCTTTAATTCTGCACTGGACAGGCTAGGAGCCACGTGCAGAGCTGCAGTGCCCCCAGCTGCACCTGTGGCTGTGGAGCCTGGCTCTGGCCCGCCCCTTCTTGGGGAGCTGTTCAGTTCTGCTTTTGTTGCTGCTGTGGGTAGTGAAACAGAGCAAGGGCGGAAAGGGTGGCAAGTCCCAGCCCTCAGCTGGAACACTTCTTTCTTTTCGGGCTACACGTAGTCGATCTCTGGCTGAACATCTCTGATTGTGTTTTCTCACCTGGCCTGGCACCCTTTGTCTGTGAATTGCCTTTCTTTGAACTTTCTTCAAGATCATTAAACTTTCTTTAATTTTTTTCTAGCTTTATGGACTTTTTTTCTCTGTATTGGAAGATATTTTCCTTTCTTTTGGCAACATCATTTCTAGGACTCCAGGGTCCCTGACCCTATGCGCGAATGTGCTCTTGGTCTCAGGTTGTTAGTCCCAGCTGTGTCCCCTGTCCAGCAGCCCCCTTGCTGTCTGTTTCCATGTGACCCTGTCTGGATGCACTTGCTGGGTTCCCACAGCTGTCAGACTGGCTTCCCCATGACCTTCTGTCAGGTACCATGGTACACACTTGCAGCAGACAGATGACTACAGACTCAGCTTATAAAACAGGCAGAAATGTATGAAATTCCGCACTGATTACCATCAGAAGACCACTTGCGATGTATGGGAGGGCATAAAATATTCAGCATAATTAATGAATTGATCTGTATAAAGGAACAATTACATAATTACACATGAAACTTGTTACATGATAGAAGTGGCAGTTCCTATCTGTGATTTGAAGATATAGTTCTCAGTTTTTCTTTAAAGCTTCATTCTTCCCTTAACCCGAAAATCTCAGGTGTTGTGAATATAACTGAGACACACTGCGGAGGACGTGAGGGCAGGCCTGTCACCGCGAAGGGGGATAGCGCCTGCCCCAGCAGGAAATGAGAAGCAGAAGCACCACAGAAAAGGCCGATGGACTGGGTAACATGAGACTTAGAGCAAGGTGTGTAGAAAAGGCAAAAGAAAGGACAATGACAATACTGCCCACGACACAGGGAATATAAACCACGGAAGTTTACACTCCCAATATCTTCCATTACGACTATACAAATTATAGATGTTCTGTAAGACAGAATACAAAATGATAAATAACATGAATAACTGATACACTGCTACCTTAAAATATTAATAAAACTTTAAAAACACTAGAAAACAGCTCACAGAACAGAAGTGCAAATAAAAAATAAACAAGTGAAAGTATTAAACTTCAGCAGTAATCAAATGCAGCAAGGGAAGTCACAGGTGCACGTTCTGCCTGGTCAGGGAACCTAAGGCAAGGGAGTTCTCAGGGCCGGCTGGGCAGTCCTGTGGGGGGGTGGTGAACTGCCATTGGTAAGGCCCACAAGACCTTTCAGCCCACTCGCTGTGCTTCTGGGAGTTCATCACTAAGCAAACGGCCGTGGTACATGCAAAATAGCAGTAGTAACACTGTGCACATTAGTGAAAAACTGTGGATAAGCCCTGTATCCAGCCACGACTGCCTGTGCATCTAATATGAGCGTGTAATTCAAGTATTAAAATGATCTTATAAAATATCTATGACCAAGAAAACTAAGTATTTTTTTTAATTATCAAAGAGGCTAGAGAAAAATACATAGACTACAATTTAGTTTTTTTCAATGTATGTGTATATATTATTTGAATGCCTAGAAAAAAGTTAGAAATATATATATGTAGGCCATATACTAATCCCTGTGTAGAAAGATTATGGGTAATTTTCTTCTCTATTTTGCAAATGTTCCAAGTTGGATTTTCTTAAAGTAGTAGGAACACATTCTTTTTGTTTTTGTTTTTTTTTTTCTGGTACCGGGAATTGAACTCACGACCTTGCGCTTGCCAGGCAGGCGCTGTGCCGCTGAGCTAAATCCCCAGGTCCCAGGAAACACATAGTCTTGAAGGGACTATGTGTGTGTCTTCAATTCATGCACACCTAAGCAGGAACATATCTTTCAAATGCAGCCTTGGCTTAGGAAACGTCCTCAGAAAGACTGGCATGTGTAGGGCTATACATACTGAGGGTGTTTGTAGGCTTATGCGCTCGTGAATCCATCTTGAAGACTCTGGATGTAACAACTGCAAGAAAAGAAAAAGAAACAGAAAGCTGCTGTGGGTATCTGCACCCCAGATCTCTGCAGTGAGGACCAATCTCTCAGGGACTCCTACACCAGTCCAAGCCGGCAGAGGCTGGAGCTGCTATGGTCACATCTCCACAATCCCAGCCCGGTTTCTGAAAGTCTTGTTGAGTTATTTATAATATGCATTATAAGATATTTAGGGGAAAATTACACTGAAACACACATTTATTTTAAACTAACTCCCCAACTACCTTCCGGGGAGCCTCTTCCGCCTCTGCCACTCACCGATGTTTTTTTCTTTGTAGTGGTCGGTTTTCGGCAGCTGGAGTAGTAGTTGAGGGTGGCGTATTCCATCAGAGCAGCAAAGACGAACAGAAAGCACACCGTCACAAACAGGTCCATGGCAGTCACGTAGGACACTCGTGGCAGGGAATTCCTGGCGATGGTGCTGAGCGTGGTCATGGTGAGCACCGTGGTGATGCCTGCGTGGGGACAGCCACCATGAAACAAGAGCAAAAGCCTGCTAACAACCCCCTTCTCTAACATGGTGCCTTCACGTGACTACTCCTCACAGTTACTTTTTAATTTAATTTAATTTCTGTTCCTTTGAGACAGGGTCTTGCTATGTAGTTCAGGCTGGCCTGGAATCCCTGGCCATCTCCTGTCTCAGCTTCCTGAGTGCTGAGTTTGCAGGTATGTGCCACCAGCCTGGCAGTTACTTTGAATTTTAATGTCTACACAATTTGTAAGCAAGGCTTCAGTAAGATTTCTTAAAACAGTCTTTACAATAGTATTGGAGTACTGACATTCCCTGACCAGTTCAATTTAAGGTTTTTCTTCTTTAATGATGTGAAATCAACATGCATTCAGTAGAAATTACACTTTGAGTTTTGGATTTGGATACTCTTCCGGGTTAGTGGTTCTCCCTCACGCTGAGTGGCTGCAATGAGCTCAGCTCCCGCGGCCCTGGGAGCACCTGGAGGAAGTGAACGCCGCGCTGCAGGGCTGCGTGTTGTGAGGCTGGAGGTTCAGCAGGGCAGGTGTACCAGGGTCGTCTTGATGTAGGACATTTTCAGCTTGTGCCAGTTTGTGGAGACACAACTCTGTCACCGGTTCAGGTGCAGCTCTATCTAAACTGTCCCTTTTACATTTATTTAATGAATCACTTGTTGCTCATCTCTTTGTCTGGTAAATATTTTTAAGACGGAGATCCGCCGGCAGTGCTCTCCGGTCCTGCGGGTTACGCCCGCCGCACGCGTCTCTTCCCTCACAAGCCTGGGCCTCCTCCCCGCTCTCCTGCCCTCGCCAGTGCCCCCGCCCCAGCCCCAGCATCGCTCCTCCGCCGCCTTCCTCACGGCACCCAGCCTGAACTGACGACGTGAGCACCCCCCTCTGCGCTACCCCTGAAACTTTCTGCCTCTCTGCCTGGCTTTCTGCATCACCACCGCATGTGACACCTGTCCTTGCACGTTTGTCTCCCTGAATAGAGAGTGTGATCTTTAAAAGCAAAACTAGATCTTCCAGACTGTGCGATTTTAAAAGCAAAGCTGGAGCTTGCTCATGTTTGCTTGTTACCCAGCATGGCAGTCAGCACGCTTCAGGCATGTGAGTGAATATTTTTGCTTTGAATGACAACTGGTAATCAAGTCAGCCACGGTCTTACTGGTAATCGATACCGATTTGGCTTTGAATGTCGTACTGGTCAACACTGAAGATGACTAGTTTAGAAGGAAGAGGAATGAGACAAGCTTGTGGAGAACAGGGAAGAGTAAAACGACGACACGTGATCAACACGAGGCGAGGCTGACGCACCCCTGGGTGAGCTCCCCGGGGCAGCAGACAGGCTAGAACCACTGGACCTAGCAGGCCGGCATCACGGGCATCTGGGCGTTACCGCTCCGTCACAGCACTAGTCAGAGATCAGTCCACAGGACAGGGAGTAACGTCACCTCCCACCCCAGCTGCATCGCCCTCCAGGCTCCCTCCCTGCACCTGCCCCCACGGTTCTGCCAGGGCCAGGTGGAGAATGACCCCCGCCATCGGGTGAACGGCGCGGCCGCACTCACTCTCTGGGCCTTCCCAGCGTTTGTCATGGGAAGTCATTTACCTTCCTCGAATCAGCTTTTACAGTCACTCTCCTGAACGCCAGGCTTTTCTTATTATAGGTGGGTATGTTCTGGTCCTTCCACAGAAATGCTGTGTAAACTGCAAGATTTTTTACTGATGCAAGGTATATGTTTATAAGAAAAGCCCCTGGAGTAAGTGTCTACTTAACTTAAAAATGGATTGAACATGTCACATCGAGGCAGGGTTTGGAGCGTTGATTTCTGTTTTGATGCAGCTGCTTGTGTCTGCACTTGGCATGGGCTTTGTCATCAGGCCTCGCTGCTGGCCTGCACCCACCTATCTTTCCCCCACTCTGACTCACACCTGGAAACTACACCATGCCGAGAAAAGAACTGGATGGAGAGTTCTTATTTAACTCAGTGCAGCGTCTCAGCTGTGTGGCAAACGGGGTGCTCTCCACGGATCCTTGGAGCAGTGGTGCGTCTCCCTCCGAGGGGAAAGCACAGGGAATTGAGGAAGAAAATCTCCGAGAGTTCTGGGTTATAGATCTGCGCCTCCCGGCCCTGCACGCTTCTCTTCCTCAACATGAGAATTTATGTCTTTTGGGACATCTGAGACATTTTAGCCATTGTATCTTTGAATAGCTTTGCAGAATCACTTTCTTTTTCTTCTTCTGGAATTTCACTGGCAGTGTCAGACTGTTGCTTATGACCTCCCAGTTATCAGCTCAGTTATTAATATTTTCTCAGTCAAGGCTCTTTGTTGCTCAGATTGAGTAATTTTTCTTGTCCTGTGTTCACGGATTATTTCCTGCTCTTCTTGACTCCATTTGTCTATACTGCTGAGGGTTGCAGTGAGGTTTTCCTTTTTTTTTTTGATGTTTCATTTTTTCATTTCTAAAATTTGTAATTGGTTCTTTTATACCTTCTAGCTCTTTGCTGTGAAGTTTTTACTTTTTCCATTTGGTTCACGTTTGTAACTGTTCACTGAAGGATATTTACGCTGCTACTTTAAAATCCTGACTCGGGGCCGGGGATATAGCTCAGCAGCACAGCGCCTGCCTGGCAACCTCAACGTCTTGAATTCAATTTCTGGCACAACACACAAAAAATCCTGACTGGCTAATGTTAGCATTTGCATCATTTAAATATCGGCATCTTTCCTTGTATGCTGAATGACTATTCACTGTATCTTGATATTCTGGGCATTATTTTATGGGACTACGAATTATTATTAAGCAAAATTTTATAGTAGCTATGGTACTTACAACATATTTAAGCCAGAACCCATTATTGCAAAAATGCACACATAACATTAAAATTTTTGTGCACCAAATATATTTTTTACCAAAGGTGTGGTGAAGCTATGCACTGGAGAAGATACCTTTGTTGTATATAACCAACAAATCTTCATGATGTTGCACATATATTCAATAATAGGTAATATTTATTTGTTTATGTGTATTGTACATAATAAATAATTTCATTTTCTTCACAAATGTCTTTTTTTCTGGTCTCAGAAATCTTTACCCCAACATTAAAAGTTCTAACTTTTTCTTTTGGGATCTCACAATGTTAGCCTTATCACCTCAGCCTAGGATCTATGTACAATTATATTTGGTGTGTATGGTGGTAGGCAGTTGGAGTTTGTGTGATGTATTTTTTAGGTGTAGGTTTCCATAATGCCCAATAGGGACATGGATGATACTGTTCAGATCCTCTGTCTTTTTGCTGATACTTTTTGTACACTATTGACCAGGTGCCCCTTATACATGGGGGTTGCCTGCGGGGGTTTCTGTGAGCGTCTGAAACTGCAAATGGGAGCAGGCCCTGCACATACCATGCTTTTTCCTTATATGCGTATCTACAGATCTCCTTACGAGGTGATAAGAAACGTGGTGAATGCTCTGCCGAGTGCCATCCAGCGGAAAGGCAGTAGAACGTTACAGGTTGTCCTCGTCTACTTAATCCGCTGGACTCGGCACCACGCACTTCTGGCTCTTCCCTGAAGACAAAATGACCATAAAGATTAAATACCTGTGGTCGATTCGGGAATCAAGGCAGCCTGAGAGCACAATTACAGATGTTCACGAAAAATGACTTCCACAACTGCCTCGGGAGATGGCAGGAACAATGGAACAGGTGTGTTCCAATTGAAGGGGGTATTTTTTAGAGGGCTGAATAACAATGTGTCTTTTACTGCAATGATTCTTTTTTTAAAAAAATCGAGCATTCACCATATTTTATGACCGCACTTCATATGATAAAGCTTGCTTTATAAATTAGGACAATAAGAGTTGAAAAAATAATAATAGAACAGTTGTAACAATGCACTGTGGTATACTGTTCTACCCGTGACTGCTGTGTGTCTCTCTCAGCGTATCTCCTGTGCAGACTCAGCCGCCCTCTGCTTGTGCTGCTGCCAGGAGGTGCTCTGTGGTAAGATGAGGGAGGGGAATGATGCAAGCAATGCGGACGCCAGCATACGAGTTTCTTCCTCACTTAGACAATGACATGCCCTTTTGCACTCAAAGGAAGCACTGTATGGCTTCTCTTTGGCACATCCAAAACGCCAGACCACTACTTTTGTGTGTTAAGGCTACTGTGAAGTAAATGAGGGTTACCTGAGCACGAGCACTGCAATGCCGTGACAGCTAGTTTGCTCACTGTGGTGGCTGCCAAGTGACTGGCGGGCGAATACTGTTTGAGGCAAGGATACGCTGGGCAAAGGGGGGACTCACACTTCCGGAGGAACAGAACGGGGTGGTACCACTGCACTGCTCAGAATGGCTGGAAATTAAAACTCACAAATTGTTTATTTCTGGAGTTTTCCACTTAATACTTTCAAACTGTAGTTAACTAGAGGTCGCTGAAATTGTAGAAAACTGAACTGAGAATAAAGCAGGACTGCTGAGGAATGTGTTAAAATCTTTCCTTCAGGTTGTGATTCTTGGCTGTGACAAGCCGACTTGAGTTAGAGCCACCCAGCGGATGAGCAAAGTGCTGGGGGTGACTGGGGGTGGCTGGGTTGTGGCCACAAACCGAGGAGCAGAAGTGTGACTGGTGTCACTCACTGGGACCACTAGTGACCCACTAGCAAGGTTTTGCCTCCAGTGCCATTGACCTAATGCTCTGCTCTCCTAGAAGTCTTAGTTCTAGAGGTGGCAAGGCTTGTACGGGAAACACAGCGGTGATTCTGCTGAAATGGAAGCTCGGACTTCCTCCTGGTGATTTTAGACTCGTCATACTTCTGAGCCAATGATCAAGAAAGAGAGTTACTGTGTTGGCAGGGTCAGTGACCTGGACTATCAGGGAAAATAGGACTATTACTTTATAATGGAGAGAATGAAGAATATATTCGAGTGCAGGAGATCCATTAGGGTGTCTCCTGATATCACCATGCCATTTTTAAGGTGAACAGAAAACTACTAAAGCAGAACTCCGGAGAGAAACTTAGCCTCCTTCTCCCTTTGTGAAATGTTCGCAGTTGGGGGAGCAACTCCTTGGGCGGCCCCTGCCTCAGGAATGCAGACTTGCGCTTTCTCACCAGGGTCCTGTGTTTTTCTCACTGATAAGGGAGACACTTCAGGCAGTTATATCATGGGAATCTCTTCCCTTAGAGGGGCAGTAGTGGGTACCAATACCGGTAAAACTAACACAGGGGTCATAAACAAGCTGCACAGCATCCTAACATCCTGAGATGTACAGGACGTGTTTTCTTTCAAGGCTAGAGAGCGTTAGCTGCTAGGAGGACTAACTGCCTTTGTTTTGCTTCGGTATCTCTACTTACCTGTTGCCACAAACTATAAAAGGGGGTCTGGCCTGGGTCCAGGGCCCAGCCTGGTTTTGAGCATTTCTAGTGGCTTTTCTAGTGGGAAAGTGCACCACTGAAGTCCTCCAGAAAGTTCCCCCGGTCTCTCCAGTGAAATTCCACAACAGTACAACGTATTTTGATCCTCCACTCAAGATCCAATCCAGGCAGGATGTTAAATGCCCCAGAACCTTCAGGAATAAAAGTATGAGTCACCCTGCCAGGGAAAGAACTAACACCTGCTGAGGTGCTTGCTGAAGGCCAAGGGAACACAAAAAGGGCAGTAGAAGAAGGTAGTTAAAAGTACAACTGTGACTGTGTGACCAGTGACAGAAATGAGGACTGTAATTGTTCTGAGTACTTCTTTCCTATTTTGTTAGTATGCCTGTGTACACACACATATATTAAGCAGGTGTCTTTGTTTTCTTTCTCTGTAATAGAACATTTATTGACTTGATATTGGTACTTGATATTTAATTTTCTGCCTGGTTTATTTCCATCAGCTAATTAATTTGCATTAATATTTTTGGTGGTTTCAGATTTCTGTGATAATTCCCTCAATTTTTGTTTTGTAAAAATGTCTTTATTCTAACAAGATGTTCAAAGCATGTATAATTTCTTTGGATATAGAATTTCGGGTGGATAGTTTTTTCATAAATGTCAGTAGTTTAAGGATAATAATTTGTGATATTATGGCTTCCGTTACTGCATAGGAGAGATGGGCTGTCAATAATATTTTGGTCTTCCACTCAAGATTTTTTCTCACTTGGATTACGATGGTTTTCCTTGTACTTCACCTGCTTGGATTTCACTAAGCTATTATAATTTACAGGCTGGTAGTTTTTACTAAACTGAATATTTTTTGCTTTATTTCTTCAAAAAATGTTGGCCTCATTCTTCTCTTTTTTGGGGAACAGTTTTATAGTTATGTTATAAATATTCATTGTATACTGCAGTTTACTGAGACTCTATTCATTTTTAAAAAAAATTTACTCGCCCTCTTCAGATTAGATGCATTTTATGCAATAATCTTTATGGATTTTTTTTTTTTTTTTGTACCGGGAATCGAACTCAGGACCTTGTGCTTGCCAGGCAGGCGCTTGTGCCACTGAGCTATATCCCCGGCCTTGTTTTTTGAGGGCGGGGGGATATTGGAAACTGAACTCAGGCCCTTGTACATGCCAGGCAGGCACTACACTACTGAGCTAAATTCCTGGTCCCAATAATCTTTATGTTTACAAAGGTTTTTGCCCTGCTATCTTCAGTCTGAAGCTCAGTGACTCAATTCACATACTATATATCTCATTCTAAAATCTCTCTGTGCTTTCTCTGTTGAGAGAACTCATCTCCTCATTCATTAAGAATATATTTTTCTTTAGAGCCACAGACATTGTTATACATATATCTGTTTTAAAAGTTTTGCGTCTGCTGATTTAATGTCAAAGTTGTCTTTTTCTATTACCTCATTATCATGGGGAATATCTTTTTGTTTCTTGGAATTGTCTTTTTGTTTCTTGGATCATAATTTCCATTATTTGCTTGCTGTTGTGCATGACTCAGTATAAGAACTCTGGACTACATTCAACTTTAGACAGTATAGTGATTGCTTTCCTATGACAGCTATTTCACTAGTTATTGTCCTTGCTCTGTCATGCCTTGCTTCACATTCTACTTAAAGGCATTATAAAGTACCTCTTTGTCTCTAGGCAGAGTGACTAATTAAATATGATTGTATTAATAAAGTTCCTCTACACTTCTGGGAATATTATCTGACAGTATGACATCATTCTATTACATCTATCTGCTTGGTCTCACAATAAAAATAGTGCAAACAGAACTACATATTGCACTGGGCTGAACTTTCAAAGTTTTACTTATAATGACACCTACCCTTACAGTACCTACTAAATTTGTGTTAACATCTTTGCCTGGTGATTTACCAATTCTATCATATGTTTTCTGTAACAGTGCAAATGAATAGTGGCAGAGTACATTTCAAGATGACTAATCTCAAGCAAATGTACTTAGTTGTCACAATGTAATATGAGGGACTTTGCAAGGATTTAGAAGTGAGACAGCTCTTTCTTTCCTGAAGAAAATATTTTGGGGAAAACAACCTCTATATTCAGTCTCATATCATTGCTTGTGCTACAAAACATTGAAAGTAAGGCCAAATTCTTATTAAAAGCTGAAATAAGTTTTTGAACATTCTAAAATTACTACAACTTAGAGTTTTGCTAAGAGGAATGGAGGACTACAAGAAAGCTCGCGAACAGACTGAACAAGGTGTGTGGATTATTTCTGAAAAGAATGGCCATTTTCTTGTTTGCTGCCGAAGTTGTAACGCACAGCAGGGATTTTATTTTGAGAGAATATTTTACAAAGATAGGGCCTTCTATGCTCAAAGACCTGTGGCAAGCTCTGTTTCCTTGCATAGATATAATCAGTTTTCTGAATTGGCAGGTTTCAAAACATGCCAACATCTTCCTGATGACATCAACCTTAAAGCTGAGTATCAGCTAATGCAATTGATTTACTGTGACTCCCTCAGTCACCTTAATATAAGTAGCACATATGGGATTTCATTGTCAGAAAGAGCAGCCTCACTTGGACACTTAAAAAAATTTAAAACATGATTAAAACATCACTTGCATTTAAACTCTCTTTAATTAAGTATTTTTATGAATTCTTCTGCATTACAATTACACAAAATAATGGAAGACTTTTTTTGAAACTCACCTAATGCAGTTCTTGCTGGTGTAGCATCTTTTTTGATCCAAAATGACACCCATGATAAAACCACAGTGAGTATACAGGGGATGTACGTCTGAATAGTGAAGTAACCCATCCTTCTGCTTAACTCAAAATAGATGGTCATGACAACGTAGTCACCTGCAATAAAACATTGCCAAAATATAGTCAGCTTTCATGGGTTAAAAATATAGGAAAACATAATTTATTTTGCAGAATGAATGACTTGAAAAAAATACACAACTACAGCAATATTAAGTAGGAAAAATGATTAAAGTGGTGGTGCTCTTCAACCGAACTTTTATAGTATCCCTGGTTTTGCAAGGCATTTTATTACCCTCCGTAAAGGTCACAGAAACAAAGAGTTGACAGACTGAGAGACATACATGTCTGTCCCACAACAAGCTGTGACTTGACAAGCTGTTATTACTAGAGTCCATCTGTATGTTGCATAATTAAAGTCAGGGGTAACAGGTAAACTCAACCCTCAGACAGATCCAGAGCCATCTTATGGATTTTTTCCAATAATAACAGAGTTACCATATCATACATAAATTTATATAATGATTTAAATCTTTCTTTTATCATATCAGAAATTTCAGCTTGTTAACTTTGTGTTTTACATTTTAATTAATATTTGTTTACTTATTTCATCCTTTTATAAGTCCGGCATTTAGGCTGCACTGAATCAGAAATAAAAAGAAGAAATTATTTCTTAACATTTCTTCTCTCCTATTAAAGCAAAGCCATGCCACACAGGAGGTAGAAGCCATGTAGATATTACTAGAGACGTCATAGTTTTCCCTGGGGATCTGGAGGCGGGCACATGCTTAAGGATTGTACATTTCATTCTAAAATATTCAGTTATCTTTTTAGGCTTCCTTCTGCTGAGATTCTGTCTTTCATCTTTCTCATTTGAACCCTCTGTCACTCAAGCAGATTTGGCCTTCCAGTACCCAAAGTCATGACACCACTAACCTGTCATGTTACCCCTAAACTGTCATCTTCCACACAGGCATGCCTGCTTTTCATTCAGATCTCTCTCTTACTTGCTCAGCTGGAAAAACCAGGAGTCGTCTGTGACTCCTCGCTTTCTTTTCTTAGTCGTTCTACCTGCTACATTGCTCTCAAATCCGTTCCCTCCTAGTCCAAGACACTGTCTCCTACCAGAGGCCCCAGCTTGGCTCTTAACAACAAACGATGCTTCTCTGTCCCAGATATTCTGTGTCCTGCCCCAGAAAGGATCCTTACTAAATCACAAATGTCATTCTCTCCTTCTCTTTATACTCCGGCAACATCTTAGTGTCTTTGTACAATGGTCATACTTTTCCTACGGTCCATACCATTCTGCCTTAAACACCTTCTACACTACTAGCATTTAGTTAACCCACTTCCTCAGACTGGCCAAGACCCTGTAGATGGCTAAATCCTTCTGTCTATAATGCTCTTTTGTTCCTTATCCTTGCATGTAAGTAGCTCCTAGTTACATGTCTTTAACATCAACTTACAAATCCTTTAGTTCTCCAAGAAGCTTCCCTGAATCCACCCCAACAGTTGTAATGCATACAGCAATAATGACTAATATAATATCTGTCTTTAAATAAACCAATCATTTGGGTTATAGACAATATCCCTCTTACTGTTATTGCCTCACCGTAAGCAATCAATTAGCATTTGCTGAGTGCAAAGAACATCACTGTTGTCCCAGTTTTGTTTAGAAAATTGACAAGGAGATTAACTCAGCCCCCACGACAATAATGACTTTAAATAAGTTAGAAATGCTTTGTAGGATGTATTGTTTTGTTGTAGCAATGCTTAGGATTGTTGATAGAATCCTTAATTTCAAGACCATGTTCCAATAAGGACTTAAATTTTTAAGCAAATTAGCATTTCAGTACAAAGGAATCAAGATGATTAACCTAAAGCAATAAAAGACCACAAAAGTATTTTTCTAAATGAAATGAATGCCAAAGATAAATCATTTTCTGGGGAAATGTTATTGAATTATATTATTTAAAAATTCCTTCTAATTTTTACATAAAATTACAGTTCCAATTATAGGACAAGAACACCAAACATGAAAATAAAATATAATAAATCACTCTAAGAGTAATGGAGGCAACTCAAATGGAATAATTCCTGCAATTATCACCATTGTAAGTGCCTATAAGTAACAGATGGACAGTTTCAAAGCAGAGACACATTTGGTTCACTAAATCCATCTGCTTTCTCCCTACCTTAGGCAGTGGGCTGCCTCACACCTGTGATTGACATACTCCCTTGCCTAACCCAGAGATGTGCCTGGACACTGGGCGCCATGACGCAGGCTCTGCCTCTGGAGCTGAGCACCTTGCAAGCAGAAGGCGGCAGCAGCCATTACAGCTGTCATAGTGGGTGCACAGGTGGACATATGCATTGCCCTACCATGGTGGGGAAAGGATCAGCACCTGTCAAAATCCCAGTGCTTGTTTCATGGATGGATGTGTGTGCAAAGCTATCAGTAATGGATGGGAGACTGCAAAGTGACCCTTGAATCCTGTAGACATTTTCAGAGGGGAGGCTGAAGGTGAAGCAAGATTTTTCAAAGCCCAAATACTTGTTTGTTTATTTTATTAGGCAGATACTATCTTCAAAAACTGCTTTTTAGCACTGGATATATTAATAATAATTTGTTCCAGGTTGAGGGTGGTTGTGAAGGGAAATTATAAAAGTTCTTTGAAACATTACAGGAGAATAGTTAGAACTTTCCTTTCTTTTTCCCTTACTCTTCTTCCCTTCTTTCTTCTTTTCATTCCTTCATTCATCCGTTCCTTATCTGGTAGATCTCACCACCAAGAACAGATTGACATACATTTTCTGTCTTTGATTCCAAGCTCTCAACCTTTGATGGACTCTGACAGGGCCAATTTCAGACAAATTAGAGTTAGACAAAGCCAGTGGTATGGGACATTACAATTGGTTTAGGTTGGATAACTGCCTTTTATTTGACAAGTAATCTTCAGCTTGGAAACACCATGAGATAAAGTGGCAGCCCTCATGGATGGTGTTGAAGGCAGAGAACTTTCCAGAGAAGAAGGCTGTATTCACGGATACCTTGCTAGGTAGAGAGAACAGAAGACCCAGAAGCATCATAAGAATAACGGTATGATCTTTTTTTTGTGGCACTATTTAAATCTACATTGAGGCTTATGTACATGTTTATCAGAGAAAGTAAAATTATTCTATACTTTGAATGCACACAGCACTGTAAAATCACAGGGCACTGTTCATTTAAAGACATTGCTCTTTGTTTCACTGTTTTATGTTTGTAAAAACATTATTTTAACGATGAGTGGATAGATATTCAATTAGTATTGGAAAGGATGGTGATGAGGGATGTTCTTTTTTTCTAAAAATGCTTACCAGCTCCTGAGATTTTGTCTCCCACCTTTCCTATTTGAATCCTTTCCACCACCAGCCTGATGGATTGTGCCTTTGGGTCATATTCATAAAATAACTCGTATCTAAGCAAATTTTTGGTTTTAAAATTCTAGGTTCCTGTTTTAAAATCTACCAACAAAAATTAACTTATTTTTGACAGTATCATCCAGTTTAAGGAAGCGATCTCCCCAGAAAATTAAGAGAAACTGTTGATAGAACACTCAAATATATTTATAATGTGGCTGTTTGAGAGATTGTCCCACCCGAATTTACCATCCCATGGTGATGGAAAGAGTGGGGCTCACAGATATATTTCCAACATGAGGAACCTGCCGGAGGACCAGCCACTCTCCCAGGATTGACCTGGAGTGTCCCACTTCGAAGTCGTCATTTACCCATGTCATTTAAAGTCAGCCAGGTTCTTCTAATGAGCAGACAGTGGTCAGAAATCCTGAGCACGGAAAACGCCGCACCTTTGCTATCTTACATTTCGGGTTTTCCCTTGATGTCTTTTTGTTTTGTTTATGGCACCCATTCATGAAAAATTAATTTTACAGAAACTGAATTTATCACAGTGTCATCCTTGAAAATTGTTCCCTTGGCCAAGATCATCAAGTCTTCTAATACACACTTTGCTCCCTTTTTCCACCTGTCTTTATATGCAACTAATCCTTCTCCAAATCAAATTTTAAACGTTTTATGATTAGCAGTCACAGCAAAAGTATTTCCATCAGCAGTCATCTCTATAATGCCATGACTGTTATTCCCGTGCTCATATTCATATGGGTCTATTTACACACATTGATTCCTACACAATTACCGCATGATCTCAACTGCTGTAAGCACGAGACATGTGGCGTGAGCCTCAGCTAGCTGCATGCTCCTATAACTCCATCCTTCTGCCGTGAGCAGAAACCATGACCTTCATTTTAAGCAACAGAACATGAATAACTCCCTTTATTACATTACTCTTTATGGAAAAGGTTATGTGAGTTTGCAAGTGTAATTATTATACTGAATGTACTGATTTCAAATTATCACAAAGGGAGCTCACCCTGTGGATCTGGTGGAGTCTTAGAGCACTGTGATGGATGGCTAGACCTTTCCTGAAGACACATGTTTTCCATCCGGAAGAAACCAGCCACCATTAGGGCTACAACTGCAAAGAGTATTGAATTCCGACTCTAACCTGAGATTGAAATAGATCCCCAGGCAAGCCTCTCAGATGAAAGCGAAGCTCAGCCAGGACCTAGTTTGCAGCCTTGTGAGAGCTTGAACAAAAGAAGACCTAGCCAAGCCACACCTGGCCCTCAGAAGCTGCTGGACTATGCAGCCATTCTGCTTTACCCTAGTAAGTTTGAGGTATTTTGTTACAGAAAAGTGGAAAACGGATGCAATAGCATCTTGTGGAAGAGTCGGCAATCTTAGTGTTCTTTTCCAGACATGTCTTTGCTAGCCTTGAGTCTCTGCGCTTCCATTTAAATTGGGGAATCAATGTGTAAAGTCCATCAACAGGCACCGTTAGTATTTTTATGGGAATACGTTATTCAAGGCTTCCTGAAAGCAGAGCACATAAGAGACAGTTTTGGTCCTTGTTAAGTTTCACCTATTTCAATTCATACATTTTTCAATGAAATATTGAATTTCTTCCAAGAGAGTCTTAGTTCACCTTTTGTTAGATTTAATTCTTGATATGTGTATTTCTAATGCACAGAAAATTA